CTCTAGCCTATTTCTCTCCTTTTTTGATGTGCACGTATTTCTATAATCTTATGCGTTCCAGTGCAAACAGATTCTAGTTTAATAATCATCCTTATTTTCTCCCTCTCATGTATTGCCTATTTCTCCTTCTCTGTGTTGTCCGTGAGTATGTGCTGTGACTGTGAGTGCTTTTGTATCTGCGTGAGCTTAGTCTTTGTGTATGTGTTCCATCTGTGGTGACTGTGTGTATGCCTGTTTATGTTTGTGTGTGTGTATGTATGTGTGATCAATATGTTTGTAAGGGTATTGTATATATGTCTCTGTGCTTCTGCGTGTCTGCGAAGTATTTTTTCATGTATATTTAAAGGTATGCATGCCCAGCTCTCTAGCGTAGTTGGCTAAAGCGGACTGCACGGTGACTGGGTGACGAACTCCTTGTGGTCCGGGTTCACGCCCGGGGGTAGGCAGAAAAGGCACATTTTTCCCAGATTTACGGTATTTATCATGGAATCAAGGCCGAAGGGTTGCGATATCCATAATACTGAGCCTAAGGGTTAACAACTCATGGCTTCTGGATACTAAAAAAAAAAGGTATGCATTTGTCATCAATGCCTGTGTATCCTAACTTTACATTCGTTCTATGAACTTTGATACATGAACATAATATGTTTGATATATAAAATACAGTTACCGTATTAACGATGAATGTATGACAGGCCTAAATTTAAGACGGGCCTGCGTTCCCAATTTTTTATCCTTTGGAAATAAAGTTTGTTTTCCTTTCTTCTTTTTTTTTTTTTTTTTTCAACTTTCTTCCATGTCTTCTTTGTTTTGTGCTTTGCTTTCTTTTTCTTTCGTTCTTTCTTTCTTTTTTCTTTCTTTCTTTCTTTCTTTCTTTCTTTCTTTCTTTCTTTCTTTCTTTCTTTCTTTCTTTCTTTCTTTCTTTCTTTCTTTCTTTTTTTTCTTTCTTTCATTCTTTTTTCTTTCTTTCTTTCGTTCCTCTCCTCCTCTTCTTTGCTTCTGAACGGCAAATGATTATACACTTTTTAAAGGTGGCTAGAACATATTCAATTTCATGGTGTGATTATGTCTTTAAAAAAAACTTTCAATAAAATTCAAATATAACCTATCTGTTTTCTTCTTCTCGTCCTCCAGGTCTCTGTAGGTCATCTGCAGCTGGTCAGTGAGGACCTCCAGGTTCTGAGCCAGCTTGTACTCGGCCTCCCAGTGCTCGGACAGGAGCACCAGCTCCCGAGTAGCGTCGTGAAGGGGGATGTCACTCAAGTACAAGCCCCGCCTGCTGATGTCATCCAGGTTCATGACGCTGGGGGAGCACATGAAGAGTATGGAGTCGCACTCGCTGACGTAAATCATTTGTCCTGGAGAGAGAAGGTTGTATCGCTGAAGTAAGTTTTTTGCCCTAAACGTCGGTGTGCATTTGAAATATGCATTTATTGTGTTTGCTTGTATTTTCTAAACGAAGTGTAGCGTTGGTAGTCATGAATGTCCACAACCTTCTTCTGTCTCGTGTACTTTCAATCAGTTCGGACACAGATCGTTTTCCCATGCCATGGCGCAAATTGTCCAGCATCTACTCTCTTGTTCTCTTGCTGCCTCCAACCCTTCATTCCCCCTCCCTTAGTCACGATGGACTCCAGTTTTCTCGTTTTCATGATATGATCAAAGAATGTACATTGTGTCTCCTTCTAATGTGAACAATGAGTTCTCTTCGTGAGTCCATTTTTTTTTTTTTTTAAGGTATCTTTATAACTCTTTTTATCTGTCCAGGGTAATCTCATTATTCGTCTATAAAATCACATCTCCGCCACTTCCACACAGTTATCCATGATTCACATCCGTATATCAGAATATGATTTATATAGCTCTTGAGAATTTCAACATCAGATCAACTTTATTGCTGTGTATTTTACTGCATTTTCTGGGGTCATTTTGTCCACAGCAAAGCGTCTTTTCGACAACCAAAAGCGTCGCCTGAAGCTCATATTCTGTAGCAACAACAAATACCTCCCTCTCGATGTCAATGATCATGGGAAAGCGCAGGAAAAGGAGAGGAGAACGCTTGCTGATGAAAATCATTTGTCCTGGCAAGAGAAGGTTGTTATGGTGAAGAATGTCATTTACCCAAAACAGCGTCTACTCTGTCCGTGTAAAATCAGCATTTTCTCTGTTTCTGCATGCGTTCTTATGCTCCTAAAACATTCTTAACATGCAAGGATTCGTCTTTAAACCAGTAGATTATATCTATGCCGAGCGTTTAGCCGCTTGACGAGAGTGTCACTTAAAACACGTCCTCTGTATTTCTAGAAACAATCCCTTCTCCACCTTTATCATCATCGTGTATACATGAATAGAATGGAGTCTTAACTCAGTGACGTAAATTCGTTGCCCTGCAATGGGAATGTCCTGTTGCTGAAAAATGTTATTTGACTGAAAGTCTGGAGCTGTCTCTGAAAAATGTACAGTTTTTTTTTTAAACCGCAGTGTTATCGGGATTTGTGATGAATGAATGACTGAATGTAACGATGAAAGAATGAATGCTGTGAGGAATGAATACAAGTTGTGATGAATGAATTAACAAATGAATGAATGTTGTGATGAATGAGTACGTAAATTAATGAATGTTCTGACGAATTAATGAAAGTTTTGATGAATGAATGAAAAAATAAATAAATAAATCTATTGAAGAATTTATCAATGAATGCTGTGATAAATTAATTAACCCTGTCATGAATGAATGAATGAATGAATGAATGAATGAATGAATGAATGAATGAATGAATGAATGAATGAATGAATGAATGAATGAATGAATGAATGAATGAATGTTGTGGTGAATGCTTTTATAAATGAAGGCGTACACAAATTAATGAACGTGTAATGAATAAATGAATAAATATTGTGATTATAAATTTTGTGATGAATGAATTAATGAATGAATGCTGTGATAAATGAACGATTGACTAAAGGAAGGATGTGATGAATGAATAAAATTCAGTGAATAAATTATTTATCCCCTCTAGAATCATACTCACCCTTCAGCCTCATCTGCTGCTGTCATGTATGAATAAATATTGTGTGAGGAATGCTTTGATAAATGGATGAATGGATGAATAAATGTGTGGTGAATGAACGAATGAATGAATGTTGTGATAAAAGAATGAATCAATAAATGAATGTATGAATGAATGAATGCAGTGATAAATGAGTTAATGATGTGATGAAAGAATGGCGGAAGAAAGGATGTAAAGAATGAATGAATTAATTAATTGTATTCTCGCAGGAACCGAACTCACCCTTCAGCCTCATCTGCTGCTTCTCGCCGCCAAGATCAGCCTGTGGGTCGGAGAGGTCGTCCTTGTTGAGTACACCCTGTCTAGTGATCAGCACGAAGACGGTGTTGATGTGGGACAGGACGTGATCGAAGCCAAACTCCATGTGTGGCCGAATCATGTCGAACAGTTCAGTCAGTTTACATCCTTGGGTCACCTACGAAAGTTTGGTTGTTAGTTTTTCATAACGAAGCAACTGACAATGAGTTTGCTGGTTACACTTTACAAGATGTGATTTTCATGAATTAACACTGTTTATTCCTCCTCTCTTCTTCTTCTTCTTCTTCTTCTTCTTCTTCTTCTTCTTCTTCTTCTTCTTCTTCTTCTTCTTCTACTTTTTCTTCTTCTTCTTCTACTTCTTCTTCTTTTTAGTATTTATTGACTGTAAACTGCAGCGAAAAGTTCTGGTTGTTGGTCCATTCATAGACTTTAATCTTGATCCAGAACTTCAGTTTTGCGTGCACATCAGTTTTACAGATCTGGCAGATCTGTATGCAGACAGTTGGTTTATTGCGCCTTATACAGATGCACTTCGACTTTGGATCAAACGAAAGTCCAGAAAAGGACGAACAACCAGGATTTTAGCTGGAGTTTACAGCCAATGAAAGCTAAGAAGAAGAAGAGGTCACACTTTGCTAAAATGGCCAGCTGCCCGCTGACAGCGTCCCCTCAAACATATAAACTCCAGCGACCATCTCCATTGATCGCTGTAATAATTGCAATAGAGAACCAAACGGCACAGTGTGTTAAACGAATTCGCGACTTTATGATCGCGAGGCAAACAGTTTGACCACTTGGCTATAAAGACTTACGGAAGAAGAAGGAGAAGAAAAGGACAAGAAGACAGAGGGATACGAGGCGGAGGAACCGCAGAAGAAAAAGAAGAAGAAGAATTTGCCTCTTCTTTGTTGACCAGATGTAAGCTCCGGTGCAAAGTCCTGATTGTTATATCCGTTTGACTTTGTGCTACGGCTTGAGTTCTACATCCGTTTTACTGACTTTATGTGTGCAGTTGGTTGTTCTATGTTTTTCGGGCGGATGCAATCCGACTTCGAAGGAAGCTCCAATTATTTGACTCCTAGGACTTGTTGGGGAGGCAGTGGGTCTGTTCTTGTTTTTCACCATAATGGGGTCCCGGAACCCACACGAAAAGAATTGGAAATAATTACAGCAGCAGCAGAAATAGAAACGGCGGCGGTAACAGCAGTAGTAGTAGCAGTAGCAGTAGTTTGACGGAAAAGTACAAAGTAGATAACAAACAAACCCATAGACAGACACCAACCTTAGGAATCACACGACTTATTGATGTGCCAGCTTGTTGGATGACCAGATTTCTGTCAAACAGCAGGTGGAACGGGAAGGCTCTACAGAAAGATGCTGGGCTAATTTTGGGCTCCGATGACAAGCTGTGTTCAAAGACATCAAGGTCGGTGTTGTCAATGTCCGCACGCTGGTTCTGTTCTGTAATTGCAAACTGGATATGGTCGCAGTCTTCGTCCTTTCTTTTTATTATCTCTACGTTGACGGGTGAATTGTGAAGTTCATTGGCCACCTCCTGTCATTATGTTTAAGACAAGAGTAAGTAAAGAAAAGTCATGAATGCCAGACAATGAATAATAAAATGGTTCTGGTATTAGACGCAATGGAGGTGTGGAATTTTAGAATAATGTTGAGACCAGATCAACGTGGAAAATAAAAGTAAAATGAACTCCGACGGGCACATCAGTTTTAAAGATCTTGCTTATTTGTATGCAGACTGCTGGTTCCTCGTCTCTCAGGCATATGCACTTCGACTTTAAAGGGAACACTCCTAATTTGTCGACTTCAATGACATGCTTGTCGGGAAGGGGGTGGGGTGCAGTAGATTGTTCTAGTTCCCTAACAAGGTGTCTGAGACCCACACCGAGGATCAGTCAGTTACGATGGTTTGGATATGTATGCAGAATCTGAGGCTAAGAACCAGGGAATTAGACCTCCAGGACGACAAAGGGTCAGCTGGGAAGACAATGTCTGGCAGTCCCTGACTGACAGAGAACTTTAATGGAACAAAGCCAGAAAGAAAACTGCTGATAGAGAAGTCAAGCGATTTCTCTGGCAAACCTCTACAACCCAAGGCAAAAGAGGAGTTACTAAGTAATTAAGATGATAATGATGCTGATGATGATATGGATGAAGATCATGATAAGGATGATGACAATGACAAATATGATGAAGATAAAGACAACCTACCTTAACAATGCCAATGACGATGTGCTCTAGTCCTGGACGGTCAGAATAATAATGCAGAACAGTGGCGCCATCCTCTGGGCGAATGGAGCATCGGAACGACGGGGCACGCATGCCAGGATAGATGGTGGACAGGTGGTCGTGGAGGGCGTCCAGGTTCTCCAGGAACTCTCTGGTCGTGGCTCCCAGCACCTGCGCGTGGAGGAGATATGTTGGTGATGAAGACAGACCGACGGACAGATTAGGAAACACACAGGTAACATATCCCCGCCTGGGTTTCTAAGCCCCATTTTGGACAAAGTAGTGGGGGGGGGGGGTTAATAGACTCACTGCCCCTAACAAGCATGCCGTAAAGGGCTACAAATTAATGATTTCCATCGAAGATGGAGTGCATCTGCCTAAAAGACTATGAATCAACAGTCTGCATACAGATAACCAGATCTGTAAAACGGATGTGCATGCAAACTGAGTTGAGTCAAGAATTGACATCACAGCACTCGAGGCATTCACATGCGTGCTCCGTCCTCATCTTTAGCAGACAACCCAGAGTTCTAATACTGATGGTACCGGTCACAATGTGGTTATATGTCGGTCTGGGCTTTTCGCTGAGTGTAGTGAGCCGGCCAGACCCTCTGGTTATAACCCAGGTACCTCAATCTCTCCAGGTCATAATAATCGTGTTTCTCTACTGATTCCGTTGCTTGTTCCCAAAGGGCCTTGACAAACTCAAGTTATGGAACACGATTAAGTACAGAAGTGAACGAGCAACCAGAAATTTTTTGCCAGAATTTGCAGCCACTGAACACTAAGATGACGAAAAGGTATGTACGCAGATGTCTAAGTACGTGCCCGTGAAGGCACAACATAGAAAGTAGTTGGGCTTTGGGGAAAGTGCCTAGGTTGGTAGGTAAGGCAGTGGCTTTTGTAGAGATCTTACCTAGGTAGGTAGACAGACAAGTAGGCACGTAGGTGGTAAAAAGACTTACCTTGAGAATTTTATCATAACCGGACTCCTGGCAATAGATGAAGAACATCTTCCCGAACAGCTCCAGCACTGTGGCAGCGTCCACATCTGGGAGTCAGATTACCTGCTATGTTAATGACAGTGCAAAACGGGAATTCCCTGATTTTGTGTTGTTACTGTTGTTTTTATTGCTGCTGCTGCTAATGTGGTTGTGGTGGTTGTTGTTGCTTATGCTGTCATGGTTGGGGTGGTTTTTGTTGTTGCTCTTCTCCTCTTTCTTCTTTCTTTTTCTTTGTCTTCATCTTCGCTTCCCCCGTTACTGCTTCCGGTTTCGAGGGAGATACAAGGTTCTGCTTCTTGCTCTTCTGATCACCTCGACGATAACTCATCGTGCTGTTGTAGAGTTTCTCTGATGTTGCCTTCCTATCTTGCCCTTGGTCTGCCTTGTGCTCTACGTCCTTCTCTTCCTTTAGAGGCATTCTTTCTAAGTGGGCAAACCATTTTATTTGCTGCCTTTATATGTAACTGAGATCTGGCTCAGTGTCGAATTTACATTTTATGACCTAATCCCTATAGCCCCCTTTAGGCGTCTCATTAAAATCTCATTTCCATGGTTACTGATTTTTTACCATGTCTGGAACTGGTTGCCATGGTTATTTCGTGTTCGCTTTAAAAAAAAGTGTTGTCAAAACGCGTATTTCTGTAAAGCTGTGAAACCACCTATGCCCTGTCACACTCTAACCTCTAGTATGTATATATATATATGTGTGTGTGTGTGTGTGCGCGCGCGCGCGCGTATGTGTTCGTGTGTTTTGCTGTTCTATGAGTGACGATCTATACAAGTGAGTTTATTTCTTGTGTTTAAAACCCTAATTACAATATATAGTCGTCTTTGTTTTTACCATGACAATACTGACATATCTCATTTTGATATTGGTAAACTATGATACTACAGACAGCTCGTGATGAAACTACTAAACAATGTTGATACTGGTAGCTCAGGATTCTACTAGTTAACCATGATGATACTGGTATAACTGGATGATATTCATAAAACATGATGATAGTATTAGAATATGATGAGTGTTACCCCAAAGTGGTGACTAATGATGATACTAGTAATTATGATGATAATGACAGCGATACTGATAAACCATGATTATACTGTCAGCGCATGATAATACTGACAGCTCACTATGACAATGATAACTCATGGTGATGCTGTAGCTTATGATACTGGGGACCTCGCTGTGATACTGGTAAATGCTGCTAACTCATTATGATACCAGTAAACCATGAACATATTAAAAGATGAGGATACTGTTGGCTCATTATGACGCTGACAAGGCTTCGAGGTAGTGGTGACACATCTTATGGCTGGCCGTCAATAGTGACAATTATAATTATAGCTTTTGCTGATAGGGAAAGCTGGTAATGATAGTCACGGCAGATGATGATACTGATAACTTATCATGATACTGGAACTCACGATGATAATGACGATACGTATAGCCCATGATGATAATTGTAGTATGTGACGATAAAAATACCTCATGATCATAGTGGTAACTAAATATGATACTGGTAGATCATGATGATACCAGTAGCACTAGGTTGGTAGGTTCAGCTGGTAGCTCATGCTGATAGTTATACCTTAGTGAGATATCAGTAGCACTAGGTTGGTAGATTTAGCTGGTAGTTCATGATGATAGTTATACCTAAAGGAGATACCAGTAGCACTAGGTTGGTAGGTTCAGCTGGTAGCTCATGATGATAGTTATACCTCAGTGAGATACCAGTGGCACTAGGTTGGTAGGTTCAGCTGGTAGCTCATGATGATAGTTATACCTCAGTGAGATACCAGTAGCACTAGGTTGGTAGATTTAGCTGGTAGTTCATGATGATAGTTATACCTAAAGGAGATACCAGTAGCACTATGTCGGTAGGTTTAGCTGGTGGCTCATGATGATATTTATAGCTCAGTGAGATACCAGTGGCACTAGGTTGGTAGGTTCAGCTGGTAGCTCATGATGATAGTTATACCTTAGTGAGATATCAGTAGCACAAGGTCCGTAGAATGAGCTGGTAGCTCATGAAAATACTGACAGCGCATGATAATCATGACAGCTGATTACGAAAGTGATAGCAGACTATGAAAATGATAGCTCATGGTGATAATGATAGCTCCTGGCGACAACGATAGCTCAAAATACTGGGAACACGTGACAATACTGGTGAGCAATGATAATAATCGTTAACAATGATGACAATCGTAAACCATGAATGAACTGGTAACTCCTCATGGTGATAACGCATGCTGCCACTGACATACAAAAGTAATTATTAAAGACTGGTATCGCTTAAAACGTTATGGAAATCATAGGATGATAGTGATAACTCCCGTGTATACCTATGACAACCATAATACTGATATCTCATGGTGATACTGATAACACAGCTGCAGCTATGACTTTACTGATATCAAATGGACTTTAGGCTAATACGTAACCGTTTTGTGTTGTCCCAGTATCATTTTTGTTTCTTGGCATTCATCGGCTGTAAACTCCGGCGGAAGATTCTGGTAGTTCGTCCACTTTTGAACGTTAGTCTTGTTCCAGAACTTAAGTTTTGCCTGCACATCTGTTTCGCAGAACTGACGTGTTAATATACAGACTGTTGGTTCCTTGCATCTCAAGCAGATGAATTTCGACTTTAAAGGAACTCCCAATTAGTCGACTCTTACGACATGCTTGTTAGAGAGGCTGTGGATTTATTCTTGTTCCCCCCCCCCCTTTTTTTACGCACAATAGGGACACTGAACCTACACGGAGATTGTCTAAATATAACTGTTATACGGCCCCACGGTTGAACGGAATTTCCGGGATTTGTACCCGTTTGATTCTCATCCTTGAGGTGTCAAATCTTACAGATTGCAAACCTTGAAATCAACAGCTGAAGACAACGAAGTGTCTTGCTAGAACAGGGGCTCTCAACCTTCCTAATGCCGCGACCCTTTAATACAGTTCCCTCATGTTGTTTGTAGGCTGAGTGGTCTAGAGGTATGGTGTCCGCCTCGATTGCTGAAGGTCCCGGGTTGAAGCCCCTATAAAGGCTGGGATTTTTCCACGTGGACTTCTAATAATTTCATCTGGTCTCTGGGTAATAAGATCAGACACCCGTGTGTATTCTTGCGAACGTAAAATATGCCGTGGCAGTTGGGAATCGAAAAGTGTAGCCTAACGCCACTGCCCAGGCAACAATTTTGAGTTAAAAATATACCCAAAGTATTTAAGGATCCTCGCCGGTGCAACGGAGTTCGTGCTCTGCGCTGAGATTCTTCTGACTCAGCTTGAGCTAGAAGTAGAACGGATCACTTATGGGTTACACTAGTGTGCCATGATGTTGATCCGTCTAATAAACATAAACATCTTGTGGCGACCCCCAAACAATTTTTCCCCTTCATAACTACAATGAATATGTGTTTTCCGATGGACTCAGGCGACCCCTATGAAAAAGTCGTTCAAACCAAAAAAAAAGGGGGGTCGAGATCAGACAGGTTGAGAGCCGCTGTGCTAGGAGGTACTTACTGAGGACTTTACATGCGGCGCCCACCAGATCATAGGAGACGCTATCGTCGTAAACTTGACGGACTAGAAAGTCACCATCCATGTCCAGGTAGGCTTCTTGTCTGAGCAGAAAAACAAAACACAAATTTAGTCTTGCTTATAATGATAAAAGGCAGCCATGATAGCCTAGTAGTTCTTCTTCTTCTTCTTCTTCTTCTTCTTCTTCTTCGCGTTTATCGGCTGTAAATTATGGCGGAAAGTTCTGGTTGGTTGTCCAGTTCTGGACACTAGTCCTGTACCAGAAAGTGGGTGTTGGTTCCTTACCTCTTGGGCAGATGTACTCCGACTTCCTTCGTACTCCGACTTCGAAGAAAGCACCCCATTAGTCGACTCTTACAACATGGTTTTTGGGCAGAAAGTGGGTCTATTCTTGTTTCCCCCCACAATGGGATCTCGGAATCCACATGGGAAACGCGTGGTAGCTTAGCTCACGGTCCCTTAACAAGGTTATGCAACTATAATTTTTAGTTATTGCCACATCTTAGGCTGCTTCAGGTCTTGAAAATTAAATTTTAGATTCGTGGCTAGGGTGTTGTTTCCGATAGATAAAGAGCTGCAATAACATTTATTCTTTATGTTTCGTTTTTTTTTTTTTTTTTTAAATAATGGTAAATGACATGGCTAAAAAATGCTTTCCACACTTATAGAATGGCAAACTATATGACTGCTTTATAACTAAGATAATCGCTTCACAGCAAACGAACCGTGTAGGAATACATAATTAAGAACATTGCTGTGAAGGACATACAACTAACCATTTAGCTTGTTCACTCACAATGCCATTATATATGCCTTTATAAAAGATTCAGAGAATGGTGGGTGGCCTGTTATTACAGATCTAGCGGTGCCGCTTGTAATGCTGCGTGTTTAATAGCAGCTTCTATTGCCCATCAACTGCAATTCTAGTAACAAAATATTTATGTCTGTTCTTCTAACTGCTACCTTTATATTTAATGCGTGTGTATGGTATTGGTTAGACTGCAATGAATTATTCATTTTTTTTTTTTTTAAATAAGAGACAGCGATGGGCATTCTGTGTAGTTTTCATTGACATATGACTGGAGCAATTAAAGGATGTCATGTTTGCAGTAAAATTGGAACTGTGAATAACTTACTATAAAGCTTTATCAGCAGCTGAGACATAATTCTTTTTTAACATCGGCACCAATTTGTGAACGCACTATAAACTTTTATTTTCTAGTCCAAATGGCTTTATTGGATAAATTTTTTTTAAGCTGATGCATACAATACTTCACTGTTACCTTCTTCTCTGTCCACTCTACCATTATCATTGGGCCAACATAAAAGCCATTTTTTTTTTTAAATGCAATGCCATTGGGAAATATATAATGTCAAATACTCAAATACTACACGTGAAAGGGTTCATATTTGAATGGATTCACCGAAATCTATGCTAGCACTCACGACATCGATTATACGACTACTTGCCGATACTGAAGTGGTAAACGATTCGATACTCTCACTTTGACCTGCAAGCGTTTAGTCAAGAGACACCACATTAGGTTCTGTCCTGGATTTAACTGAATTGTTTGGTGGTACGAATTTAAGTCTCTCTTGTCCGAATTAATTTCTTCTTCTTCTTCTTTTTCTTCTTCTTCTTTTTCTTCTTCTTCTTCTTCTTCTTCTTCTTCTTCTTCTTCTTCTTCTTCTTCTTCTTCTTCTTTTTTTTCGACTACCTTTTTACGTTCTTTTTCCCCATTGCCTTCTACTTCTGGTGATTGTGGGAATAAGGCGGAAGCTGATAGTAGCAAGAAAGTAGTGAGAAGAATGAAAAGGGAGACGAGGAAGCGGAGAGGAAGAAGAGTATGAAGAAGGGGTGGTGGAGGCGGTGGAAGAAAGGAGAAGGGGGAGTGGGTGGTGGAGGTAGTGGAGGAGGAAGAAGAGAAAAGAGAAAGGAGTTGGAGAAATGATGGGAAGGATTCGGAGAAGGAAGGGGAGGGGGTGAAGATGAAGAACTGACAACCAAAACAAAAACAACAAGGTAAACTTACTTAATCTGCTTCCATGCTTCTTCTCCGAAGTTTCTCAAGACCAACAACTCCAGGGCATAATTCACAAAGCCGTACTGAAAACAGGAAACGACACATCATCAAAGAAATAACAAAACTGCCATCAACAGAATATATTCTACTTCTTCTTTTTTTTCTCAACGTTCACCTGCTGTAAACTCCAGCGGGAAGTTCTGGTTGTTCGTTCACTTCTAGATTATGATTTTCTTCCAAAAGTTGAGTTTGCGCGCACATCCTTTTCATAGATCAGGCTTAGTGTATACAAACTATTCTGCTCGCCTTTCATGCAGATACACTCTGACTTGGAAGGAAACCCCAATAATCAGTGGCAATGTAGCAGGTGATTCAAAGTATAGACTGGCAGCCTCATGTCAAACAACAAGCACAACAGTGATGTACTGTTCCAATTACAAACCAGGCTTTCTGCATAGGGGAGAAATGCGGAGCACAGCGAATACAACAAAAACAGACTACAGACATTCCTTAACTGGTGCCTATTCATAAAATAACATTTGTCTTCTTTTCTTCTTCTGCCCGTTAACACCCCCCCCCCCCCCCCCCCCACCCTTTTGTTCAACCCAGTGGAGCATAGGACCTCGCCAGTTCACAATAAATCATCCTATCCTTTGCTACTGTAAGCAACTCATCCCATGTTCGCCCTATCCTTTAAGCCTCACTCTTCGCTTTGTCTCTATTTCTATGTCCCTGTGAGTTCCAGTGCCAAAACAATTTTTTTTTGCATGTTTTCTTAACGTGTGTCCTATCCAACATCGGCGTCTTTTCTTTACCTGTTGATTCACTGGAATGTGTTTAGTTCTTCTAAAGCCATTGGTGATTTTATCGTTCCATTTAATTACATCTGTTCTGTGCAGGCATAAGTTAATTAATGTTTGTAGTTTATTAGTAATTATTTTAGTAGTTCTCCATGTTTCCACTCCATACAACAGAACTGATTTGATATTAGAAATAACAATCTAAATTTAAGTTCTAGTCTAAATTTTATCTGATTTTCACACATTTCCAAGTGCTATGAAAACCTCAGCCTTTTATTGCAATTTATATCTTTTGATGACAACTTATCAAGAGGTTAGATTTTTGATGTCGTTTTTGGTAGCAGAAATATCAGGGTTATTTGGTAAGATGATCCATGTGTGGGTAGCCAGGACAATTGTCAATTGTCAGTAGCATCTTCTTCTTCTTCATTCCACCTTTATAAGGCAAAGTAATGTAGCTGGGTGGTCTAGAGGCATGCTGTCCGCATGAGTGCTAGAGGTTCAGGGTTCAATCACAAGTAAGGGCTGGGATTTTTTCACATGGACTTGGACTTCTAGTAATTCCCCCTGGTCTCTGGGTAGTGAGATCGGACGCCCGTGTGCATTGTTGCGCACGTATAAAAGCCTGTGGCAGTTGAAAATCGAAAAAAGTAGCCTAACGGCGCTGCCTGGGCAAAATTTAGAGTTAAAAATCTGCCCAAAGTATTTTAGGCTCCTCGTCGGTGCTACAAAGCCTGTACATGGTGCTGAGCTTCTTCGAACTTGAATTAGAAGTAGAACGGAGCACTTATGGATTATACCCGTGTGCCATGATGTTGATCCGTTGTTCAAAACCTCAAGGCAAAGTAACCCTATTAACCATGTATAGTGTATACATGCTTTCTCTTTAAGCTTTTGTTTATTTTTAAAACGTTTATTATAGTTATTATTATTATTGCTCAATTAAACAAGGCTTAAGCCATTGAGACTCACTCTCCCCCCCCCCCCTATGTTTTCTTTATGGTCACATTCCAAGAAGTCAATATGCCGCTTAAAGAGATGGTCAACATTTAGAGTAGTCTTCCAATGAAAATATGTGGTGACCGTCGGATTAGGAAGCTGGTCAACATAGGAATTGTTCAACTTTTGGAGGTGGTCAACTCTGGAGATTCTACTGTAGTAGAGAGTGACCTCGACATCTTCTACCCATCTGTAATCTACACACTCGATGGGTCATCATCGTGTAGCAGGTACCTTGCAGAACGTCGCTCTCATCACGGGCTTCATGAAAGAAACTAGATCTTTAGCCAACTTTCCTGCCTAGTGCACTTTTCTACACAAGGTGTCACTTATATTCTTAAATGGCGTTATTAGGATAGTTAAAATTACGCCAACTGCCTTTATATTCCAGAAAATTACTTGGAACAGATTATATTGGCTGCTTCGATCTGTGAAAAACTGTATCAGTTTACGCTTAAAAATATACAGTCAGTCATTGTATACCGTATAATTTAGTTAATGGAAATCTATTATTGACTTCTTATTTGCTTTTATCTCCCGAGGGAATATTATTTTTCCCTGTTCTGGAACTCGCTTAATTACTTCAAAATAATATTCAAGCCTTACGGGGTTTTCCTATTGTTTGGTAAGAATAGAATTCCGTCCATTTCCATTTAAATCGATGGCTTCCCGTTTTTCTTCTTTCCAGGCGTCCAAGACAGATTGTCTGCAAAACTCTAATCTCCACAACTAATCTCCAGAATTGTAATCTCTAATTCGCTAACTTGTGGGAGAAATAACAACTCGTTGTCGGCGTCTGTGGCTTAGAGGTTTACGAAAGTGGCTTGTAATTCCGAAATTTCCGTTTTTGTAGACTGACAATGTGTTCCGTTTTCAGCGGGACAGTCCCGTTTTAGGCGCACCCCAGACGCCCCGTCGGTACTCCAAAAATGTATCAATTGTCCCCTGTTATTAAGTTCTAGAAATAAGCTCGAGAATAGAACACACACTTGCAGTTATATCTGTAGACTTATTAGATTTTATAGTGTTAGATACTTTAATGCCTGAAATATGTGGAGAACTTTCACTGTAGCATGTTTTTTAAATTGTAATTAAAGAGCATATTGTGTCGTTTATTTCTTGGCGGCACTGGTCAAGCTTTTGACACCACTGTTGGGTAATTAACTCGTTAACTTGGTGACCTTGGGGAGCGGTAAGGGGCGGGGATAACTGATTTGCTTGGGATGTCCCGATCGAGCTCAAAAAATAAATGAGATGTCCCGTTTTCAGCTAAAAAAAATTATGGTCACTCTACGTTGGGGCAACAGACCGCTTTGCGTTGATTTTTGACATTTGTGTGGAGAACCGATTGTTTAGTGGTAATATCAAATTGTTTAATGTAAACTCAATCACAAACAGCAAACAAATGGTGGGATTGGTTTACGACGTCTTGTAAACTATATGTAATTAATATTGTTTGTCCATTTATTATACAAGGATTACCATGCATTATTCCTAAACCTGGCTAAAGAGAAATCCTATATCACATGTGCATGCTAGACAAATGACAGATAACAGGCAATAAATATATGGTTTATCTGATGTTCTTCCTCTCCCCAACTCCCTCAAACTGCTAATGTCGTAGAGCGTCACAAAGAGGAGCAGGATGCAGTTTCCTGTCATTCTCTTTCTGCGTCGGTTGTGTTAACGTTCCTGAAGTGTCACTTTTACTCCCTTCAACCATCTCTTTCTTGGTTAGTCTCTTGACATTTAGCCTGCTGGCTCATCTATAGTCTTTTTGGGTATTATCTCTCCATCGTCTTCTTGGTCGGCTACGTGGTCTCCTATCATTCGACTCCCTTTTGTACACACTTATACCCCTCTGTCATCTGACATTCTTTCAATATGCCCCAGCCATTTCAGTTCATTAGCTCTCAAGATGCCAGTAATCAACGGTGATTCAAACAGATTATGAATTTCGTTGTAGCTTCTCACTCTTAATTTCTCGATGATTGCATCTTTGATTGCACGATAGCTTTCATAAAGGCTACCGGCCTCCTGATTTAAGTTTTCTGACAGAAGGATCGAAGAAGAAGAAGAAGAAGCTTCTTTGATGGATCCAAATATGTTTAAAAAATGTGTAATAAAGCTGGTTCTTCAAGGGTTTTGAGTCTTGTTGAAGTGTGCAATAGTAATTATTATAATTATTATTACTAGATGCCAGTGGAAAATAAACTTAATATATATGAATGAGTATTAAATGTGTAATCCCAATCAGTACAAAGAGACATCTTATTCAAAGCATATTTATTCCAACTCTGTGCTACCAGTGCCAGACATGGTCACTCACAACAAACCATAAAAGAAAATTGGTAACCATGGAGATGAGATGTCTGAGAAGGGCTGTAGGAGTGACCATAAGAGATAAGATCAGGAATGAGATCATAAGAGAAAAAGTCGGCACAGAACCAATTCTAAATAACATACGAAGACAGCAGGTGAAATGGTTTGCCCACTTAGAGAGAATGCCTTGTGACACCATACCATACAAAGCATACATGGAAAGAGAAGAAGGACGTAGAGCACGAGGTAGACCAAGAACAAGATGGAAGGATAACATCAGAGAAACTCTACAACAGCACGATGTGCCTATGGTCGAGGCGGCCAGAAGAGCTAGAGACAGAACCTTTTATTTCCCTCGACACCCACAGCGGTAAAAGAGGAAGTGAAGAAGAAGAAGAAGATTAAATGTGTAAGTAAGTACTTAAGAAGTGATTGACTATACGTGGTTGGGGTAGAGCCGTCTTAACAGCACTATGGGCCCCTGGGCAGGCAGTGTACTGCGGCCAATACGACAATGACTCAAAAGAATCAAATGTAAACGGCCACATAACATACACAGGACAGCATGGAACTCTATGCTCGTGGGGCCCCCTTGCAAGTGCCAGGCTGACCAAGGTATTAAGAGGGTTCTGGTTTGGTTTGGGGGAGGGGGCGAGGGGCAGGTGACTTAGAACATCTGCAAATATTCTTAGCGGACTTGGCGGTACACAAGAACAATTAGGGGATGAGGGCATAAATGTACCAAGCGCCCATGCTGCGGTGTCCCTGATAACAGCTTCTCTACAGCTCATCTACGAATACAATTTCTTTTTTAACTGAAACAACTGCAATAAGAAAGAGAGTGTCAAAGCCAGTAATCGACATATCACTGAATGATAAGAATGAAGACTAAGCTAGGTGAATTTTATAGGGCGTCCCTTATTGGTTCACTAAAATAGCGAATAAGACAAAGAGGCTAAATAAATGAACAATTCTTAAGTAAATAGAGAACATGAAACGATGGCTGCTAGTCAGATAATCAACATATAATGGTGATTTAATGCTTCTTCTTCTTCTTCTTCTCACTGGCCGTCTGTCAACTCCAGCGGAAAGTTTTGGTTGTTCCCCCAGTTCTAAACTTTAGTCTTGCTTCAGAACTTCAGAATTTTGCATGCACTTCTCTTTTACAGATCTGTCTTATTTGTACACAGACTGTTGGTTTTTTGCACATGCAATACATCATTGTCACTTGCGTGACAAGCAGAGGTGCATATTAATAATTTAACACTAGAGGCAATCAACAGACTAGGGAGGTATTATACCAGAATCTAAATAGAACCTGTGTAGTTCCGTGCATGTAAGACATGGGCAATAGGCAGACAAGCTGGAAGAAACATTTACTCGCAGCGGAGATGGGGTTTTTGAGAAGCAGGCACAGAAGACAATGGAATGATAGAAACCCTAATAAAGCAGTTCTTTTCCAAACTTGTAGGATGTGTGTATGTTATAAATGTCAGGATTTTGTTTGTGTGCTTTAGACAACGGATCAACATCATGACACAAGGGTAGTAACCTATAAGTGTTCCGTTCTACTTCTAACTCAAGCCTGAGTCCGAAAATTCTAGGCACAGTGAACAAATTCCGTAGCACCAGCGAGGATCCTGAAATACTTAGGTTTTTAACTCTACATTTTACCCGGGCAGCGCCGTTAGGCTACTCTTTTCGATTTCCAACTGCCAATGAATTTTTTACGTGCGCAATACTACACACGGACGTCCGATCTCATTACCCAGAGACCAAGGGAAAATACTAGAAGTCAACGTGAAAAAATCCCAACCTTCACCAGTGCCTGAACCCGGGACCTCCAACACTCGAGGCGGACGCCTTGTCCCCAGACCACTCAGCCCCTGTTAGGAGAAGGAATGGACTTGGGGAATTTAGTTACAACTGGCAAGATTGATGATGTAACAAGAGCAAGGCGAGGCAAAGAGATGAAAGCCTTGATCGATTGGCCATATGGATGGGTCAAGGGAAAAGACACTGACTTGATCCGCGATTCTGATGATCGTGTAAGAAGGTGTCAAAACATGGCCGCCTACTCTTATTGGCGAAGAACATGATGATGATCCGGTGAGACAAAACATGCCTTTTTTTTTTGGATCCGACGGTCAACCTTCGGATCATGCTGATATTATTGATGCTCTACAAAAAAAAGTGGAGTACTTTGTGGGCTGTGAATTCACATCACTCGCCAGAATAATAGGCTTGGGAGTTCAGATCGGTATAGAAAAAATAGGACGCACACAACATAGAACTGATATCATCAGCCACCTGACGCTGGGGTATATACTGAGAGGAAACTCTCAGCACCTATAGACATGTCTGGAGTGCAGTGATGATAATAACCCAACTAACTAACTAGCTAACAAAATATACTTTTAAAACTTACCATTTTGTAATTCAGCCCTTCTAGGAAATTGAACCAAACGCAAATCTGTTTAGTTTACCGTTGAACGTATTCCAGAATTGAGCGTTTTAACACATTTAGTTCATGTACTTTGACAGAAAGGCATGTCATCACACTAAATATTCCTAACGGATCACCGCGCGCGCAGTAAATTAATTTCAACTTTACTTTCCCAAATTCCTCTTTGCTGAAGCTCAATGCCACGCGTTTGCCGTGCAGCCAAGAAAAGATTCTTTTTGGTTCGCCGTCAGTTTTAATCGGAACCCGCCGAGCTATTCAACCGAGCTATCGGTTTCACGAAATGGCGGGTGAGACGAAGAAGTTGGTCGTAGTCTTACCTGATCATGACTGGTAGTTATTGATTTGTTAATCGTGGTATTAAACGTAAACAGCGTGTTCACTGCAAAGCTGCCTGCGGACTATAGGGTTACACACGCATGATGTTTAATATTTATAGATTTTCCCTATGCGTGACTTTTAAGTGATTCCATTCCACGTGCGTGCTTTAAAAAAATCAACACAGAATGAGTTCAAAGTCACTGGTTGGAGTCTGAGTAAATTTCGTTTGACAGCAGTCAGTTTCATTTGTTTACCAGAAGCCCCACCCTGGCTTTTGCCGGGGGCCCTAAATATAGTCGGGCCCTAAATATGGCCTAACGGCTGAACGGTGTTTCCGGGACCTCTCCACGGGTGATCTTTATCCGCATGGTGGCACTTTGTGTCACAGGGTGTTTATCGCTTTGTGTGATGTCCTAGTGGGGTACAACTTACAAACATACATTTGTTTGCCACAGTATTCTGGTGTAAGCGGAAAACAGTGATCGGGCCGATGTTCTCAAAGCTCTGAAGGATGTAGGCGAGCAAATGAATCCAGAGACGACTCTGATTCCGCAACATTAAAAAGTCTATAAGAACTTCAATTGAAAAAGGAATTGCCAGACTCTTTACATGTAGCCACAAAAGAATAGTAAACCAACACATAATTGGTGTTATCAGTCGCCACACATTGAGGGATTTGCTGATGATGGGATCCGAGCCCTTATGGATTTGTCTGATGTGCGAATAGAATAATCGGTCAGTTAACTAACTAAATGTTATAAATGGAGAGTGATAATGTTTGCACTTAATTAACTCTTAAATCCAGCATCATCATTATCATATCGCATCCTGTCACGTCATGTAAGGTCGTGTTCTGCCCAGGCGCACAGCCACAAAGAAAAATTGGATGAGGGAGCATCAGCGCCACCCTCCCTCCCCCTTCATAAAAGCCCTCCCCCAATAATTTCCTTGGGGCTTTTGGATCAAACCTTGTTTAATTGTGTAACAATAAAATTATTATTATTATTATTGTGTGCTGATTGTCAAACAAAAATAATAGTTACTGTAACAGCAGATTCTTAAAAAGAGAACGCTTATATATAGTGGGGAGAGGCTTTGTTCCTCCCAGAAATATTGGGAGTATGGCTGAAGATATTTTAAGCCTTGTTTAATTGTACAATAATAACAATACTTTATTATTATTTTTATTATTATGATTATTATTATCTGTAAGACAAATCAAACATTATGTATCAAATAATATGCAGTTATAAGCATGCACTTTAAAAGATAACAAGGGCAACCTGAGCCCCAGGATTCGAAGCCTAGGGGTCAGCAGCCAGTGGTTTGCGGCCCACAAATGGTCAGCGGATTTATCCTGGTGGGCCACCGCAAATGTATGCATAATCAAGTTTCGGAGGAGAACTGGCTCACAAACAGCATCCTGTCCTGAAAGCTGAGGTATTTTGGCCATGTTAGATGTCATAATGACCTGGAGAGAACAAAGATGGAGTATACTTTCTTCGTTTTCTTCTTCTTGCTCTTAGCTGCTCGCTGGAGATTACGTCAAGCGCAGAGCTACGTAGCTCCGGCGACAATTCTTATGAAATGAAAAATCCATCTGAAAAATAAAATGTGTTATGACGCATGAAGTAGACGTTTACCCTAATAGAGCCTGCCTGCTAGGGAAGAGGCAATGGATGTCCCTAAGAAAGTCCACACGCCTGGCACCGCTCCTCTCGCTGACCAGACTTCCACGTTCACGACTACTATCCCACAATCATTCAGCCTTTCAGTACGTAGATCCACTTTAGGCTTCTTTTTTTTTTTAAATCGAGGTTGCCTCCTCTAGATCAGTTAACTCTGCGCTGGCTGATGAAGATGAGGACGGAGCACGCATTAGAATGCACCGGGTGCTGTGAAGTCAATTCTTGACGCAACTCAACTCAACTCTTCTTGCTCTTGTCATCTCAGTCCGTCTTACTGATACCACCTTGTAGCTCAGTGTCGTGGTTTTCTGTATTTGTCTTGCCCTTATCGAGTGGCTTGGGTGATGGATTTGTTAATCTTTTTTGCAGTTTTCAGCTACATCGTTTATCCACATCTTTCTTGGTCTTTCCTTTGCCTTCCTTTCGGGAATTCTGCTGTAAAAAGTCGAACATGCAGTTTGGTCTGGCTGCATTCCGCAGGAATCTGTCGTATAATAATTCAGTATTTTTTGTGTAGTAGCAATCAGTTGCACCATTAGGCGCGTCGCCTGGCGGGGGCAGGAAACATTCTGACCTGGCTGATGCCCTTCTCCTTCCATGCGAGCCATTGCCCTGTTAGCCTGAAACCTCACGGTTTCGGTTTTCCGGTGTGCACCACGAGGCGGTGGGGGTTGACCTGGGTGCTCTACGGATCATTAACAGGCTACTTAAACTTCACTGTTTGCCTTTTCGAAGAAAAGCTAGACAACCTTTACACTGCTGGCTGTAGTGCCAAGCGCCTGAGCACACCTATGTGGGGTAAAGTTTCCAGAAAAAGAGGCATAGGCAGATACAAGACACTGAGAATTCGATGGTTATGAAAGCACATAGGGCTGAAGAACTCGCTAGAGAAAGATATTTTCAGGCGTGCCGTGACGAGAGCGACGTTCTGTAAAGCACCTGCTGATTGATTATGATGAATCTCTTGCACAATCCTTTCAGTATCATGGATACATCCGGTTTAACACCTTCTGTTTCTCTCTACTTAGGATTTTTTCTCGGACGTCCTCGTTTCTTCAGTCCATTCTTTTCCCATTTCAGAACCCTTTTTAGCAATTCTTTTACCGGCATCTCCCCATTATGTGCCTAATGCCCAAAATATTGCCATTTTTTTTTTTTTAAATAACAAATGAATGATATTAGCAGTTCTCCAGCCATTTCTCTTATTTCTTCGCCCATTATGAATTAATCCTATTTAATGTTGACCAATTTCCTTAGGCGTTTTTCCCCGAATGTATTTAACTTAGCTTCCATGTCTTTAGCGATTCTCCAAATTTCACTGATATCTGTTACAATTTAAATAACACTGGAAATAAAAAGTCTGCGAGCCGTATTTAACTTTAAAAAAAAAAAGAGTTCCATACGTAACTTAAGCTTTAACATGTTGTTGTTTGCGTTGCCAGTGAATATCATAACTTTATTCTTTGTGTTAACGTGGCCATCAAATATGTAAACTGTTACTTGAATTATTTTTGTTTAGAAACAAGTGGGAAAAAGTCAATATTTACTACACTTTGTTTTGCTCACTTCTGGTTGTTTTCTTTAAAAATAGTTTTGTGATTGATGCTACCGATGTTTCTGCTGCTGTGCATCTCATTGCGCTTCTGCTTCTCCTTTTCCATCATTTCGAGGCTCTGCCTGAGAGCACTACATGTTGTTAATTGTAATGCACTCACAAAGCATGCTTCGGAAAAGCAAGCGTCCGACATGTAGAGTGGATTGCATCACCCGATAAGACTCTGATCCGGAGGATATCATGGATTTTCTCTCCAGGGCCGTAGGGGTGAGGGGTAATGAGCAGGCTAATAGACTGGTTGCTGTCGCGCCTGTGAGCGGTAAGCTACTTTATGATAAAGTAGACCTGGTGAAGGTTCTTTTGGATTAAACGGACATTGCAGTAGCACAGGCAGAGAATCTATATATTGATAGACTAATTCAATCCGGAGGGAGAAAGGGAAAGGGGGTGATTAGAGGCAATGAGTAGAGGTTATGAGTATATGATATGAGTAGATGTTATAAGTAGATGTTATGAGTAGATCTAATGAGTAGATGTTATAAGTAGATGTTATGAGTAGAGGCTATGAGTGGAGGTTATAAGTAGACGTTATGAGTAGATGTTATGAGCAGAGGTTATAAGTAGATGTTATGAGTAGAGGTTACGAGTAGATGTTATGCGTAGAGGCAATAAGTAAATGTTATGAGTAGATCTTATGACTAGATGTTATGACTAGATGTTATGAGTAGCTGTTATGAGTAGACGTTATGAGTAGAGGCTATGAGTAGAGGTTATGAGAAGATGTTATAAGTAGATGTTATGAGTAGACGTTATGAGTAGAGGTTATGAGTAGATGTTATAAGTAGAGGTTATGAGTAGAGGTTATGAGTAGATGTTATGACTAGATGTTATGAGTAGCTGTTATGCGTAGACGTTATGAGTAGAGGTTATGAGTAGATGTTATAAGTAGATGTTATAAGTAGATGTTATGAGTAGACGTTATGAGTAGAGGCTATGAGTAGATGTTATGAGTAGATGTAATGAGTAGACGTTATGAGTTGATGTTTTGAGTAGATGATATGAGTAGAGGTTATAAGTAGATGTTATGAGTAGATGTTATGAGTAGATGTTATGAGTAGATGTTATGAGTAGATGAGTAGATGTTATGAGTAGAGGTTATAAGTAGATGTTATGAGTAGATGTTATAAGTAGATATTATAAGAAAATGTTATGAGTAGACGTTATGAGAAGATGTTGTGGGTAGATGTTATGAGGAGAGGTTATGAGTAGATGTTATGAGTAGATCTCATCACTCAAGAACACAGAGGGCACAAAATTGTTATACTTAGTGACTCATTGTCTGTTCTCCAAGCACTATCAAGCAAAAAAAAAGACAAACTAACTGCAGATCTAAGGACCAACAT